AGGTAAAGGTGTCCACTTTTTCTAAGGGAGTATATTCCACTGTCACAACAGGGCTTGATTTTTTTCCTAGCTTCACTACTTTCGACTTTCCCGGGTGTATACGTAGGCCAACACTCCTTGATATGCTGTTGAGTTCATTGGTTTTTTCTTGCATCTGAGCTTAATATGTGCGAGAGAGCAGTGCAAGGTCAGCGCCGGTCCAAGTCGTCCAGCTGCTGCCAAGGGATCCATTGTATTCCATTGCGCTTGCCTCTGGTAGCTTCTTTAATGATCCAGTCAATTGCCAGTATGAAGAGAAAAGGTGAGAGTAAGCATCTTTGTCGCACCCCTGTCTGTATCTGGAATGGTGTCCTTCGTTGAAGACTTAGCAGTTTTTTCCATCTTAGGTGGTCTTCACAAGCTTGACGATTTTGTCAGGTATTCCATAATGCTGCATGAGTTTCCATGGAGTTTCCCTGTCCACGCTGTCAAATGCTTTTTCATAATAAATGAAGTTGACCACGAATGGTGACTTCCATTCAAGCGACTGCTCAATATCAAAGCATAGGCTGGGCTAAATATCACAAAATGCCTGACGACAACTAGCGACCGTAAACAATAGCGGTTCATTATATGTCAACCTCTGAGCCAGAGATGACACCTGTCTGTATTCAGGATTTTCTTTTTCCTTTTAGGGGTGAACTGAAATAAAAAGAAGACAAGGTTTCCAACATCAGTGGTGTTTTTGAAGATACTTCATCATAAAGAATATTTAAAGTTACAACAACATCAAAAATGACAGTAACGATGAGTAAAAAAAGGGTGAGCTAACTAAGCACGAAATTTGGGAACAAGAACGGCATTCTCAGGATAATAGTAAAATCCCAATCTCTAAAAACAACAGACGGTAACCGTTAATCGAAAATGAAAATTAATGTTTGATAACATGTTTTCACCGTTCCACTGAGGACGACGCTCTGAAAGTGAAAGAAGTTGGGTTCTTGGTTACGAGATGGTATGTCAAAAGTTCCTTTTTTCATGCAAAGTAGCGAAATGTTCTTAAGGAATTTTATTTTGGAGCTCTTTAGATCACATTACTCAAACTTTGGGAACTTTGTGGATGCAAGAAATCTTTTTCTTCACTCGGAATATGCAATCACGTCTTGTCGAAATCAATCACTCAAGCGGAACAATAGCCGTTACCAAGTTGCGTCTTGTATTCAAACATAGGAAGAAACACAATGGCGGCTTCCGTGGTTCTAAACATTTGAGTCTTTGCTGGGAGCGCAGTTTTGTGTGTCTGGATCATATTCGGAAATATTCGTGTGGAGTGTGCAGAAGAATTCTTTCCAGTCGCCTTCTAGGCCTGTACTGTAGAAGATGTCGTTTTAATGTGTAGGACTAGAGCTGAGTTAGTAGAGCTGGTCGATCTAGACTGGACTTCACCGTCACCTGGTCTCAAGTTAGTAGTTTAGAGACAAAAAATCCCAATAGGACTTAATTGTAATAAACAGTAGTGATTGTGCCTAGGGTGGATCCAGTTGTGGCTTAGACTATACATCAAGTTACAGGGGTAGACTGATGCTAGAGTGACTAGAGTGAGATTTGAACCCTTGAATTTTTTAATTTTTTTTAGGCTTTAGTTAACTTTTGGTAATCTGTGAGAGTGATTGTAACTGTGTGGTGTCTGCACAGGGAATCTACTACCTCTAGAGAGTTTTGGACTGGTGGCATCTCTTTTGTTCATATCGGGAGTAGGAAAAAGAAACTGTAAAAATGAGTAGGCCTGCAACTACAAGTACCGAACGCATCAAACCAAATTCTAGGAACAGCAAAAAAGAAGATACGACATGTGGTAAATGTGACAAGGAGGTGGGAAAGAAAGAAAATGGACTAAAGTGTGATATGTGTGAGATGTGGCACTACACAACCTGTGAAGGTGTACCTGATTCTCTCTACGCAGCAATACAGGAAACAGACAAAGAATCATCACAGGGCCTGCATTGGTTTTGTAAAAAAAAATGCAACAAATTCGCCATTGGGTTCATGTCAGTTCTAAATCATCTCTCAGCCAGACAGGATGCCTTGGAGGGAAAAATAAAAGACATGGAAGCTCATATTGTAGAGAAATTTAAAGAGGTCGAGAACTCAAGGGAGAATCTATCACGTAAACTGGACAGCGTCGTGGCAACATCAGTCAACGAGGGCATTAAAGAAATGGAAGACAGAGAATACAGAAAAAACAATGTGATTTTCTTTGGAGTGCCAGAAAGTACAGATACAGACTCCGAAGTAGGGAAATCAGAGGACATGAAAAAAGCCGATGATATCACCCGGAAAGGATTGGAATGTGCGGCCGAGATTGCTCAGACCTATCGACTGGGGGCCAAAAAGACAGAGGCAAAATACACTGAAAAGGGGCCCAGACCACTTTTAGTGAAATTTCAGAACTCTTAACAGGCTCAAGAGACTCCTAAGACAGGAAGAAAACTCAGGGAGCACCAAGACAAAAAGCTTCAAAGCATTTCCAGTAAAAAGGATATGACTTTTTTAGAGAGGGAAGAGATGAGAAAGCTGGTGTTGCAGAGAAATCAAAAAAGGGAAGAGTCACAAGCTCAGGGAAGAAAAGACATATGGGTGATCAGGAGACACCTGGTGGTGAATATAGCAAGACCAGAAGGCGGAGTGGGGGTCGGGCAGGTGGGCAAGGAATAGCCGATAACCAGCCCAAGAAACATGTATATAGTTCACATAATGTGAATTCTAGTCATTGTAAGGTTCTGAATTATTCTTTGATTTGTGTTTATTCAAAAGTTAATTGTGTTCCAAAAGACATGTTCAGTTTTTCATCTTCCAAGTTAAACTGTTTGTATTCAAATGCAGATAGCATTCTAAATAAGAGGCATGAGCTCGGGGTGCTTGTGTGTATACATAAACCAGATATTATATGCGTCACTGCGGTCTCACCAAAAAACTACACAGAATCAATACTAGATTGTGAGTTGCAACTTCAGGGTTACGATTTGTTCAGCAGATGCGAGAAAGACAATAGAGGTGTACTGATTTATACAAGAAACTACTTAACAGCTACGCCCAGCTCAGTTATTGAAACATGTGCAGGGAAGGAATCACTCTGGTGTGAGATAGGACTTGATGGTACAGACAGACATTTATTAGGCTGTGTTTACGGTCACCGAACAGCGATAATGTAAATAATGAACTCATCATCAAGGATCTGAAAACAGTGTGTAATATAAATTTCTCTCACATTCTGATTTGTGGTGACTTTAATCTCCCTGGGATTGGGTGGAATAATGAGTGCGGGATTGAGGGCAGGGAGGGCACTTCCTTCCTGGAGGCATTCAGAGACTGCTTTCTATACCAGCATGTGTAAGAACCAACACACCACAGAGCTAGCCAACAGGCCAACATCTTAGACTTGATATTCACAAACGAGGGGGGCATGATAGAAGAAGTGAACTATGAACCTCCCTTGGGGAACAGCCACCAATCTACCCTGGTCTTTCAGATAAATTGCTATAAGAAAAAAGATAAACCGCATAGGCCCCGCTATGTGTATGACAGAGCCGACTGGGGCAGGATTAAAAATGATCTTCAATCAATAAACTAGGAGACTACCCTAAATGAACTAACATGTGAAGCCATCTGGACAGAGATCAAACAAAAACTAATCAATAGCATGGACACAAATATTCCCAGGAGCAGACCTGGAAAAAAACCGAGAAACCCACTGTGGATGAATGATAAGGCTTTGGCCAAGGTTAAAGAAAAAAACACCACTTTCAAAAGGTATATGGAGACAAGAGAGGGTAAGGACTATGCAGACTACGCAAAAGCAAGAAACCAAGCCAAATGGGAATGCCGCAAGGCATTACGAGACCTTGAAAGAAAGATAGCCGAAGAATCCAAGCAAGACCCCAAAGCATTTTTCAAATATGCCAAGAGCAAACTGAACACAAGGAGTGGTATTGCGGATCTGGTCTGTAATGATGGTAGTGTGGCAAGCACGGACAAGGATAAAGCAGAGGCTCTCAATAGTTTTTTCTGCTCAGTCTTCACGGGAGAGGACACAAGAGAAATACCTGAGTTTCAACATAGAGATGTAAAAACTGCAAGTTTGAAGACATGCATATAACTAAAGAAGATGTGCTCAAGAAGCTTGCTAAGCTAAATCCCAACAAAGCCCAGGGTCCAAACAACATTCCATCATCCATCTTCAAACAATGAGCCACTGAACTAGCTGCCCCGCTGGCAACTCTAATGAATAGGTCACTGCAGGAAGGAGTTATACCATCCGAGTGGAAGCTAGCCCATGTTTCACCTATCTTCAAAAAAGGCAAAAAAACCCGCCCCAGGAAACCATCGTCCAGCGAGTCTAACGAGTGTGGCCTGTAAGGTATTGGAATCCATCATCAGAGATCAGCTCAGAAACACATTTCCAGCAAAATTATCTGTTTAGCAACTTTCAGCATGGTTTCATGAGCGGCAGAAGTTGTTCAACCAACCTGTTAGCGGTGCTCGACCTATGGACTTCAATCATTGAGGCAGATGGCTGTGTGGACACCATTTATCTAGACTTTGCTAAGGCCTTCGATACCGTCCCACACGAAAGTTTGTTGACAAAACTGGAAGGCTGTGGAATTGAGGGGCAGATTCACGCTTGGATAAGGGACTTCTTGACTGATAGGCAACTGTGCGTGGTTGTAAATGGAGAGGAGTCTTCCTGGGAGCATGTGCAGTCGGGAATCCCTCGGGGAAGTGTGCTAGGTCCGTTTCTCTTTGTATGCTTCGTCAATGACCTCCCTGAAAATATCCTCTCTGCTACTTTTCTGTTCGCGGATGATACGAAGATTTTTGCTGAAGTACCCGACTTTTCGGACAACTTCCAGGATGACTTGAACAGACTCCAGCTCTGGTCTGATGCGTGGCAATTGAGGTTTAATGCAGAAAAATGCAAGGTTATGCACATTGGGAAAAATAGAAACCCATGAGAGTACAAGATGACATCCAAAGGTGAACGCATCACTCTAGAATCTGTGACACTAGAAAAAGATCTAGGTGTGACTATTGATTGTGATCTAAAATTCAGCAAACATGTCAGTATTCAAGTCAACAAAGCTAACAATCTTCTCGCACTGATCCTGAGAGGTTTCACAATGCTGGACAAAGTGTCCCTTCCCACTCTGTACAAATCAATCATTCGTCCTCATCTAGAGTATGGAAATGTGGTCTGGCACCCCACACTTAAAGGTGATGAAGAACAACTTGAAAAAGTGCAACGTCGGGCCACCAAACTAATTCCTGAACTACAGCACCTTGCTTACTGCGATCGTCTCAGAAAATTGGATCTACCATCGCTGTACTATCGGAGAGCTAGAGGCGACATGATTGATTGTTACAAGCATTTAACAAGAATTTACAACGTAACGGGAGACATTTTACCCCGCGATCTACACTCTAACACCAGGGGACACAGCCTAAAATTGAAAAAAACAAACATGTGAAAACAGCAGTCCGCCAAAACTTCTTCAGTGTACGCACAGTTAACGCTTGGAATTCCCTACCGGAAAATGTGGTGTCTGCACCATCCTTGAATGCTTTCAAGAATAGGATTGACATGGTCTGGAAGGCACATAAATTCTCCATGAGCCTAGATTGGTTTCAAACTGCCAGATCCATGAGCCATGAGCACCAACCTACAGATAACAGAGTGTGAAATGAAAGCAACGAACGGCTGATAGGCGACTAGCCTGACCACAGCCGTACTTCAAACTAAACTAACTAACTATAACGTGTGTATTAAAACAAAAAGCAGACGCTAATTTCACTATTAATAATAGCAAAAATCACATGGACACTGTTTTGCAGTATTTGACGTGTCTCGGAAAATGCAAAGGTCCACAGCTATTTTATGATGCAAGTTATTTTAATTACTAATGCAGCCTCGTCTGGGTTGTTTGCTCTCTTGAAAAAAAAATCACCATCATACTTATAGAGTGCCAGATCTGAAAGAGGCGTGGGACATCATGGTTCGCTATTCATGTTTCCATTCAGATGCCCTCTAAAAACCTAAATTATCCAGGTCTTTACTCGTCATCAATCTGTTAAGATTTTTCAAGAAGGATCATCTGTTTCCTAGGGCTTCTATTTTTTCAGTGAGACCAAGGTTTAAAGGGTCCGTGTCGATTAAAATGTATCAACTACCGGTACTGCATTTGTTTCCTGGTTTGTTTGTTTGTTTGTTTTGTTTTATTTGTTTGTGTAATAATCTTTTAAACTACTGAAGACGGCTTGACCAAAAAAGCTTTCTTCATTTACATTTCTGAGGTTGTACAATATATTTATGGAACTTGAACAAAGTTTTTAGAAACTCCGAACACAGCTGTTTCTTCAAACAACTGATCACTTACCTGCAACGTTTTCCTCACAGTTCTCGTGCAGTAAAGATGTATCTGTACCTGCTTTGTCTCCTGGCTCTCTGCTGCAAGTTTGCCCAATCACGTATCTATCACGATTATTGTGTAGTCGGCGCAGGACCCAGCGGTCTACAGATGGGATATTTCCTGGAGAGCAAAGGTCGTGACTACGTCGTGTTCGAACGATCAAATACTCCAGGTACTCTGAATCAATCTTCATCTCATTTTCAAAAACAAAAATAACACAGTGGTGTTCTCATTTACACATTCGATGGCTGATGGAATTTACATACAGCTTTGGTTCTTTTTTTCCTCTGCTTTTGTCTCCATTTTCTCTACCTCGTTCATTTTTTAACTTGGAGATCTGTCATTCTGTCTGTGTCTGCCTTGCTCTCTCCCTCTCTCTCTCTCTCTCTCTCTCTCTCTCTCTCTCTCTCTCTCTCTCTCTCTTTCTCTCTCTCTCTCTTTCTCTCTCTCTTTCTCTCTTTCTCTCTCTCTCTCTCTCTCTATGTGTATATGTATACTTTTAAAATATATAGCTCATTCTCTATCCCTCTATCTCTCTTTCTTTCTCTTTTGGGTGAATAGCGCTGTGAATATTAATATTGAATAACAAATGTTGCTGATGAAATTATTTTTTAGAAAACAAACGCACCGTTATTTGAAAAGCACAAAAAATGGCTTCAAGCTTCGAAGCGTCGATAAAGTTTCATTTCCTCAAAATCGCTCTATAGTTGTTTCTGCAAATAACCGTTCCTGTCCTCATTGAAGAACAGTGTGAAAATAATCAACTGAACTTAACTTTTCTTTTCTTTGTTCTTTAACTGTTTGGCCCTAATTTGTCCAATAAAATCCATCCATGTCTGTTCCAGGCAGTTTCTTTGAAACGTATCCTCGTCACCGAAAGTTAATCAGCATCAACAAACGTCACACAGGTCAGGTGAACCCGGAGTTCAACTTACGTCATGACTGGAACTCCCTGTTGTCCCATGACCCAGACCTGCTGCTCACCAAATACACCAGGTACCAAGTCGTGGTGACCCCTGACACGTCTTTTGTTGGTTTGTTTGGTTGGTTGGTTGGTTGGTTGTTTGGTTGGTTGGTTGGTTGGTTGGTTGTTAGGCTGGTTGGTTGGTTGGTTGGTTGGTTGGTTGGTTGGTTGCAATGTCAACAATGTTCACAAAAATATATCAAATAACTAAATTGATTTCAGGAAGGAAAAGGATGTGCCACGGATATGTGGTATTCAACTTCTGAAAAATAAAAATAAACTACTATTATATAACACAACTCAGATTATAATTTGTGAGTGAGTTTTGCTTTAATGGATAATGGACAAGACGACGAATAAGCAAATGTGAGTTTGATTTAAACATGATTAAGCAAACATGTGCATATTCAACTCGAATATTTCTATTTTTTTGCAGACAAATGTTTCCTCATGCAGATGTGTTGGTCAAATATCTGAGAGATTATGAGGTATGGTCATCAGTCACGTTTGTTGCAAGATTTCTATCACCACAATGCTTGTTCACATAACTATCCGAGTGGTATGAAATTGTAGGCTCAACCGAGCACAGAACTGGAAACAAAACTTTTTTTTTCTGCATACAATATACTCATTTCATTGTCTCACATTTGAGACCTTATGTAATGCCTTAATCAAAGGCAGTAGCACGAATCACGAAAGATGAGAAAATAAAAAGTTTTGGTAAAATTTCCCATAATTTGTTTTGGTCATTATAATTTTAACAAACAGCAAGAACGGAGTGTTTTATACCGTCTTCATCTACTGTAATCGTGTTCTCCCAAAATCGCTTTGAAGGCTGCAATTGACCACGATCCTTTCTTTTCAATTCAAAAGGTAACCAAAAGAATAAATGATTAAGGACTGATGACAACTTTATTTGTTTTGGGTTATTGAACAGAAATGTACTGATGGCAGTTGTTCTGTATTTACACTGAATCTTTGTATTCTAATGTTCTGGTTTATCAGATGTACACACGGGCGTCTGTGGTGTAGCAGTTAAGCTCTTCGCTGTCGTATGCAGAAGACTCGAGTTCGATTCCCGAGTGAGAGAAAAAATTTTATTAAGTACATATCTCGGTCCAACTGCTGTGATGTTGTATCCCTCTCAGCCTGGGTTGACTCTAGCACGCAGGGTCGGAAGCCCGCTTCCTAAATGATCTAAATTGTGTCGATATGGGCGCAAAAACATCATTAAAAAACTCCCGAATTTTTCTTGTGGGTCAATAAAATAATCGTATCTTATCTTGTCTTATCTCATTTTTGTTCTCATAGCAAAAGATGTGACGTTAGATCTGTAATCGTGAGATTGCGGGTTCGAAGGTTCGAGCCTCAGCTCGGTCCGACGTTGTGTCTTTGGGAAAGGCACTTTCCACGAATGTCCCACTTTGACTCAGTCTTTTCTGAGATTGACTTTAAACTCGAAGATCCCGTCTCTTAAGTAATCTACTAGTGTTGATAGGGGCGTTTTAAACCTATACAATTTCACCATTTTCATAGCAAAAGCTTGGTATCAATGTCCTCTACAACACATCGGTTACCAACATCCGCCCAGTGGATGACGTCACTGTGTCTGACGGTCACCGATTTCTGATGGAGGACCAGAGAGGGCAGCAATACCAGTGTCGGTGAGTAGGTGCAAGAGCCAATGTAGTAGATAGTCCCGCGGACAGGAGACTCGAAACCGTAGGCTTGAAACTCGCCCGGGTGCCCGAATTTTGTCCTCGGGAAAAGCACTTTACACGAATTTTCCTCACTTCACTCAAATGGGAATGGGTAGCCGGCTATAGAAAGATCTGAAATTGCCAGTTTGCTAGTGTTTGAGCGCTTAATCAACTGCTTGCACGGTACGCTTCGCTTGGTCTACTGGGCTAATAACACAGTGTAAAGTAAAGTATAGAGCTTTCTGTTGAGCGGGGATATGCGCTGTACAAATGCTATTTACTATTACTGTTATCATTATTATAACCATTATTATTATTACCATTATTATTATTATTATTATTATTATTATTATTATTATTATTATTATCATCATCATCATCATTGTTAACAGCAAGGAATAAAAGAAGATTGAGACTCGTAGAATTTCCAAATTTTATAAAGGTTCAACGTTTCTCCCGGCAAAGGGCTTCATCAGGAACACACCAAAAAATGTCCATCATTATCATCATCATCATCATCATCATCATCATCATCATCATCATCATCATCATCATCATCATCATCATCATTATCATCATCGTCGTCGTCGTCGTCATCAGGACTTTGATCATGGCCACTGGAGTTGGCCAGCCCAACATCCCTGATATGGAAGGCATCCAGCTGGCGCACGGCTATGAAAACATGTCTCTCGATCCGGAAGATTATGAGGGAAAAACTGTTCTCATTCTGGGTGAGTTTTGTTTATTTTTGGTAAGAGTTTTACAAATAATTCATGTAAGTGCTAAAGATTTGAGGTGCTACTGGAGAATAAGATACACACAAAAGGAGTTACAGCGATAAGGACGATATAGGTTTGATAGGAAAGAAGAAGCCAACCGCACCAGAGCACCCTTTTTCCACCCACGCAGTGGGTGAGTTGGATTTAGGTAAGGCGAGAAAACGATGGAGCTTTCTTAACACATTTGTTTTTACGTCTCTGTTCACACAATTTAGAAATTTAAGAGGAGGGGCTTCGACCCTGCCTGATAGAGCCAATACGGGCAAGGAGGTATACAACCTCCCACCGAAACGACCGAGATGCCCGATAAAAATTTAATGACTCTCCACCTGGAAACCGAGTTCTGGTCTCCTGCCTGCGGCGACTATGCGCCTAACCACTACATCACCGACGCCGGTATGCAGCTTATAGTAGTGTAAATTCTCCAAAATGTTCTCCTTTCACCTTCTTTCCTGCTTTCTAACCACGTTTTGTCGTCTGCTTTTGTCTCCACTTTCTGCACTCCACCCCCCCCCCCTTTCCTCTGGGCTCCTGACTCTTTCTGCAGCCTTTCTGCTGCTAGTCCTTGGCTACCTCTTACTGCCGTTTTTCAGCCACAGCACTGATCTTATGGTAGGTATAGGTATAGGTTTAACGCCCCTATCAACACTATTAGGTTATTTAAGGGGCGAGACCTCCTAGTTTAACGTCCGTCTCCGATAGGACCGAGCCAAGTGAGAAGTTCGTGTAAAGTGCCTTTCCCAAGGACACAACGTCGGACCGATCTGAGGCTCGAACCCCCCGAACTTGCAATCTCACGATTACGAGTCCGGTAGCATAACCACTAGGCTACCGACGCCACGATTTTAGGGTAGGTAAGTTCAAACACCTAGCCTTTTCGGATAAGGTCGAAAAATCTCGGAGGTTCCGTGTACAATTTGCGCACGTTTAAGATCCCTTGGTGGTTCAAAAATCGATTAAAGTAGGCTACGGCCGCCACAAGCGCAAAATTCAAAATTAATTCCTAGAACTAGCCACCAACGGCATTCCAACAGGGCGCAGAACAGTCCTGACCAGTAAAGATACGTTCATTGTATGTGGTAGTGGGATATTGTGCATCAGCCTAAATAACAACATTGATGGTGAATGTCTTATTGTATTTATCTATGTATCTCTGTTTGAACGCTATTGCAAACTAAATTCCCCCCCCCCCCTGGAATCAACAAAAGTAGATTTTTTTCAGAAAGTTGAATAACGTCATGGCGTTTGGACGGTCCCCTCACCCCACTCACCGACGCCACAAATGCTTTACCCTTTTATAACTGGTCAATCTGCATACTGTTAATATTGTGCTAAGAATTACTGTGCCATTTCTCAAGACAACTTCACCAACGATGCACACATTTTAATGTTTAAAAAACCCAATCCCTTCCGTCATCTGGAACTCTTGGTTGTTCCGTCTTGCATAATGTTGCCGTCGGCTGAGAGAGCGCCTTTATTCATTATAGGCGACTCTTTTTTCTTTTTTATTTGCTAAATCGATAACCTGATCAGTTGCCCTACTTGTGTGGAAAAAAATCAACAAAAATCAAAGTGAAACTGTCACTAGTTTATGAATAAATTAGAATTCAAATTTCGGAAGAATGCTTTTTCTGGGTTACGCTGACAAAAATGCCTTTTTTCTCGAAACTGCTGTGAATTATAAAAAATAGGCAGAATCGTCTTATTTATGTTCTTTCACCGTGTGCAGAATCTTTGTTGCTAAGCACTACTTCTTTTTTCAAGGTCGCGGGAACACAGCTTTTGAAATAGCGACTAGCCTGTACGGGTCCACAAACTACATCCACATGCTGTCCAGCTCCAGGGCAAGACTGTCCTGGTCAACGCACTACGTTGGTGATTTGAGGTTTGCGTTCTCTTGCAATATGTATACTTTACGGAATGATTTATGTTTATATTCATATTTATACTTAACACTTTTTTGGAAAATTGCAAATTTGTATAGATCTAGGTTTAACGTCCCTTGCAACACAATAAGGATAGGTAACCCTTTTCATACCCCAAATTATCAGGAAGTCAAAAGATGTAAAGAAGGGCGCCGATGTATCGGCGCTTGCTGCTGAGAGAGTTAAAAGGCGGGATCTTCTAACTGAACGTCCGTATCCGATAGAATCAAGCCAACTGGAAAAAATAAACTCGTGTAAAAGGCCTTTCCCGAGTAAACAGCATCGGACCATGGTGAGTGCTGAGCTTCGAACACCCGAACCTGCAATCCCACGATTACGAGTCCGGCAGTGTAAACGTTAGACTAGCCTCATGATTACGAGTCCAGTAGTCTAGATCTAAACATTAGACCAATCTCACGATTACGAGCCCGGTAGTCAAGACAATAAACCAATCTCAAGACTACTGACATGACGACCTTATCGAGGCACTGGTACAGTATTAATATAGTATATCAAGACACATTGTACTTATTTCTACTGCTTAAGATAGATATTTACTTCATGTCTGTAATTCTAGGTAGAAATTTGTATCTATGTTGGATAAACTGATAGTACCAGCATATTATCAATTGGGTCTTGAATGAAATATTATCGAAACTTTACTTTTGGAATGATTTTGTTTAGCTTCTGCTTAAGAAAACGGTTTGAAATTTAATGCAACTGAATTTGCAACAAAACAAATAAATGGTATGTGTACGTTGTAACACATCGCAGTTTGTGGCACGAATCCGATTTGGGTCCTCTTTTTCCATCTTGCAAATTAGAAGCCTTTTATGCTAAAAGTATCTCGAGTCAAAATGAGTGTTGGTGCGAGTGTTAGATTTGTTCTCGACAAACTCTCCATTACCGGCGTCTGTCGTGTTGCGGTTAGACATTTCGGCAGTTTGAATTCAGAGTGGGGATAAAAAAATTTATCGAGTATCTCGGTCTGGGGTGTTGTATCCCTCTCAGCCCGGGTTGGCCCTGACAGGCAGGGTCACAAGCCCGCCTCCTAAAGGATCTAAACTGTGTCGGCGGGGGTATTAAAAAAAATCTCCTTCCCATATGGTAGTGATTTTCAGGAGTCGATAAGTGCAGTTTCAGTGGACATCAAAAGCATGAGAGAGAGAGAGAGAGAGAGAGAGAGAGAGAGAGAGAGTGAGAGAGAGAGAGGGGGAGAAGGGGGGAGGGAGAGAGGGGCAGAATAAAACCTTGCAAACTTCTACAGGACCAAATTCCAAACCCTCAGAGAGTCTATTCCAAGATGTGCTATTGGGCGCCAAGCCAAAATTCTAAAACAGATGTCTCTGTCCTGACAGGGCGGTGAACAACGATCTCCTGGACACCTATCAGCTCAAATCTCTAGACGCCATCATGGAGACAGATCTGGAAAAGTTGGCTTTGTTCAAGCGAGGGGACAAGATCCATATCACTCACGCCGACAACGACTTTCTGCCCAGACGTGTAGACAACACAGCCCTGCGTGATCCTTATGATATTGTCATCAGAGCTCTCGGGTTCAAATTTGATTCTTCAATTTTCAAGTGAGTCTTAAATTTTTTTGCCAGAAGCTCCAAAATGTTACGTTCATCTTCGACAGAATAAAGTGGGTGGAGACCCTTAAAATCCCCTCCCTTCCACCCCCACACAACTCAAATTTAACAGTCCTGATGGGTAGTCAGACCAAGGCCATACGTACAACATTTGACTAGAAGGCTAAGAAATGGTAGAAATCTACGACTTCACTGTTCCTAGTACACCTATCCATATACTCCATAATTCCTGACGTCATTGGCTCATTCAACCCTTTTTTCCTCCCTATACTTACTTCTCATTCGCCGCATTTCCCTTGACGAATAGACAGGACTATCCGGTACCATTAATTGATGCATTATCCAGACAAACAGACAATGGGGGATTGTGTGTGTGTGGGGGGGGGGGGGGTTACAAAAGTCATTCAAAACTAGAAACCCAATACCTGAATTGAGCAAACTGATCTGGAATCTTTTCCCAAAAGAAACCTGTCAGCGCATTAAAAAAATCATAAGAGATTTAGTGAGGCTATTTCCAAATTTAGAGACTGAAAATTATTATAATATGTTTCAAAGTGCATAACAACTAACCAAGGCGAATTTATGAAGACTAGGGGTCTCCAGTAACTGGGTGGTTAATGAGTTCAGGCCCACAGTGATGTCGAACATGTGTTGATGACATAGCATTCAGGTGGGTGGTTACTGGGGTGTGGCCTTGAGCAAGACACGATATCCCTTGCTCAAGAAGGGCGCTGTACAGGGGTGACCAGCAATGGTGTATGGATTGTCTATGTTTGTGATAGTGTGCATTATTCATATATTTAAGTATAATATATGTACACAGTACCAACGTTCGCGTTTAATCATGTACGCCAAAGTAAAAGAAACTTTTCCAAAGTGGATAAAGAAATAATATTGAAAATGCAAATAATTTCTGTAGCGCTCGTTCAGGTACAATTAAATTCCCTGCGCTTTACAACACCTTCGTCTAAACTAACACGATATACAAGTGCCTGAAAAGGAAATTTCTTGGGTTTGTCAAAATAAGAAAGTATCCCAAGAAAAGAGAGAGGGTGGTGAAATGACAACTCAATCAAAACATTCTTATGTCATAAGCATTGCCACCGGCAATAAAAACGCTTTTCTTGAACTTTCTTCTTGTTGTGATCTCTAAAATACCTAGCAAGACAGAAATCACAAGAGGCAGACTCAGGGCCTCTAAGTTTCCGACCATCTACCACAACTACGAGTCTGTGGATCATTCTGGAATGTTCTACGCCGGAACCGCTTCTCACTCCCTCGACTTCCGGAAATCGGCAGGGGGATTTATTCATGGATTTAGATACACTGGTGAGTTACTTGACGAAATAATATGGTCGATACGGGTATATGTCAAGTGGGCATTAAAAAAGGCGCAATGTGACTGAAATTGCACACACATACACACACACACACAG